TAAAATAACTAAAACTGAAATAAAAATATATACATTTTTTTAAAATAAAAATTACTAAAACTCACAAAAAGACTAACTAAAATCTAAATGAAAACTAAAAATATAAAGATAAAAACCTAATTCAAAATATTAATAAAAACTTTAGTATCTCAGTGATACTAAAGCAAAACTAGATGCCTTATGTATATCCAAAAAACTTCAGAAAACTTGGTATGCCATAACACAGAACAGTATTTCTCTCTCAGCCTCGTTTTATTCAAATTAAATTAAATATGACGTCTACGGTCAGGCTATTGCAGACGCTTATGCAAAGATGTATTAACACATGCACAAATGCAACGATTTTTCTTTGTTTTCCATTTCAAGCCCAGCGGGCATCAGCTTTTTTGCTGACAGTCAGTATGAATGTTTAAGCAATGGCCGGGCGATAGCCACAAACCACAGTCCCCAGCCAGTCTCCCCGTCACCGGACATCTCTCTGTGATTGGCCAAACACGCTCTCATTAGTCCTGAGACCACGGGCTTCAGATGCTCCGACTGCGTCAAACTCTGCATCAGGAAAGATCTAGGAAGCTCTTGGGTTTTTATTATATTCAAGTGTTAATTACTGAAGTTCTTCTGTATTGTGTATTTGACTAAGACGAGTCCAGCAGGAACATCAAGAGCCGCTCATCTCACCGCGGTATGCTTTTATAAGTATATGCATTTACACTTTTTGGTGGCGCAAGGGTTAGTTATGATTTATTGTAGTTGTGATGTGACTTGTGTATGAAGACTGAAGCAATCAATCAAGAATCTGAGCAGCAGAAGAACTCATGACTGACGTGTGACTCGCAGTGTTGGATCATCTATGATTTGGAAGGATGACTTAAGGCTAAAAGCATGAGATCTAAATCTGGTTTGCATTTCATATGTTGTGGTTGATGTTTCCCTCAAATTCAGAGAATTCAATATTCAAACATTATGTTTATGTTTTAGAGGTTATTGGAGTATGTTTTACAAGACAAGACTATTACAGATTTTCTACTTCAAAATTTCATATTTAATTTAATGTGTTATATGCAGTTTCTTTATAATTAATTGTACGTAACATATTGAATTAATCATCCAATTTTGAACTGAAATTGTATTTTCTTGTAAAATGTATTTCTCATTTTCCTTCAGTTTAACTTGAAGTATTAAATTAACTAAAACTAGAACTGAAATAAAAATTAATAAAAACTAAAAACATGTTGAAATTAAAAACGTAAGTCCAAAATTAAAATTAAAACAACATTTAAAAATAAAAAACTAATTCAAAATATAAACTATAATAGTATATAAATAATACCTAAATAACACTTTCACTACATGTATGTGTTTTTAACTAAAGAATAAAAAGTTCGTGGCATTAGTGTGCAAAACCTTTCAGGGCTTTTGATTTTTAGTAGGGATGTAACGATTCACTCAACTCACGATTCGACACGATTCACGATACCGATTTCTCGATTCAATTTTCTCACAAAATGAGATTTGAGACAAAATATAAATGAAAAGATGTCCTTTTATTATTGCTTGGATAAAATGCTGAAATTTCTTTGTGAAACTGAAATATGAAATTTTAAAACAAACCCCAAATCAAATAAATAAACAATGCAAATAAAATACATCTCTTCATATAAACAAACTAAGGCTTTGCCGGTGCTCTTTCCTTTCAGTTAGAGGCAACCACTGGATTTTAATCACGATCCAAACAAAGATTCTGCATACATGCTGCATGAGCAGTTTTTTTCATCTAAATTAGACTGTATAATTTCAAAATCTGAAGCAAAAACAGAATGGTCTGACTTTAACTTTTGTGAAATTATGCTACATAAAACATCTGAACGAGACAAAAACAGCAGACAGGCTGCATGAGACGCAGATTCACTCTCTGACAGCAGGTGGCGCTTTTGGAACAGCAGTAATAATGCAGCGTTTCCATGGTTGCCGCAGTAAACAAAGCAGCAGTGCTTATAAACACTACATTAATATGCATTATACAGAGTCAAGATGAAAAGAAAATATCATCTAAACTTTTCTAAAGGTAGTCAGTTCCCCTCAGAGATACATTCATATAAACTCCTACCCACAACTGTATCGCGATTCGTTTAACATCTCAACCGATTTTAATCGTTACATATTTGTATCGATTTTCAACCGGTTCGCGGTGCATCGTTACATCTAGTGGTCGACCGATATAGTTTTTTTGATAGCCGATGACGATGCCGATATCTTGGCAAGCAGGGTGGCCAATGGCCGATATAAAGCCGATAAAATTTTATTTATTTTAATTGAAATTTAAGAAATTTAAAATCATTTCAAAATGGATTAAAAAATAATTATGTTAAATAAACATACTTATACTTTAGATGACAAGGTATATCATAAATATTTAATAAAAATATAATTAAAAAGGAAGTTAACACTGTAACCAACAGACACTCAGTATTCTGGGAAGTTTGTGTGCATTGGGAATCATATTTTTTCAAATAAAGCCAAGGTAACACTCATTTTACATACAGCACACAGTGGAAATTACATGAATATGGCAGTGGGCAAATCACGAGAAATTTTTAATTTGAAATCACGAGTTTAAAGTTTTTCGATCATACGTCTCCAGTGAAGCTGAACTCTCCTACTGTCCGCGTTCAATTCGCACGGATCGACCGTCACACAGAGAACACGCGATCGTGCAGGATACACATGCACACTTCACACTCACAGCTGGATCCGACTAAGTTTGCAAGGTTTGTGAAGTTAAATGCTCATTAGTCATTCAAAGATTTGTTTAAATGATATAAATGCATATTTGCTGAATGCTGACGGCAAACAAGAAAGTATTATAATGTTTGCCTTTCTATTACTAATAATATAGAATAAAGCAATCATTATAATACTTTTTGTATACATGTTAATTCCTTTGTTTAACCGTTCTATCTGATTATTAGACAGATTTCTGTCCGTATTAGAGAATTTGGCAGTGGGCAAATGCTAAAGCGCAGCATAATTTGAAATCACGAGTTTAAAGTTTTTCGATAATACGTCTCCAGTGAAGCTGAACTCTCCTACTGTCCGCGTTCAATTCGCACGGATCGACCGTCACACAGAGAACACGCGATCGTGCAGGATACACATGCACACTTCACACTCACAGCTGGATCCGACTAAGTTTGCAAGGTTTGTGAAGTTAAATGCTCATTAGTCATTCAAAGATTTGTTTAAATGATATAAATGCATTTAAATTATATAAATGCATATTTGCTGAATGCTGACGGCAAACAAGAAAGTATTATAATTTGTGCCTTTCTATTACTAATAATATAAAAGCAATCGTTATAATACTTTTTGTATACATTTTAATTCCTTTGTTTAACCGTTCTATTTGATTATTAGACAGACGTCTATACGTATTAGACAGTACAACAGCGAACAAGAGGGAGAATGTGAGCACTGTATGCTCAGGCCAGCGCCGTCAAAATAAAGTCCCGCCTCGAACGCATCGGCCAAACAGAAAAACGTATCGGCCGATGCCGATATTTGAAAAATGCCAAATATCGGCTGATATATCGGCCTTGGCGATATATCGGGCGACCACTAGTTACATCCCTAATTTTTAGATGTTCTGCCTTATTATTGCATGCATGTGCGATCATTTCGAGCATGCATTTCTCATGCCGTCTCTTTTGCGATGTGTTTGTGTGCAGAGTCCACAGATGGGGACGTTTATCGGGGTCTACCTTCCCTGCCTGCAGAACATCCTGGGAGTGATTCTCTTCCTGCGAATGACGTGGATTGTGGGAACGGCGGGAATCCTGGAGGCCTTTATCATTGTGACCATGTGCTGCTCGTGTGTAAGTCCAAACCACACGACTGTAGGAGTTTATCAGTTCTGATCTTGCCGGTTAAGTTTAGCCTCCCTCCTCTTTCGTCTGAACTGGCACGTGTGTAATCTCCTGTGCTCAGAAGTCTCTAACACCACTGCTTATTTATAAACCACATCAGACAATGGGATCAAGCGTCTAATTCACCTCAACCTTCACTTGCTAGTGTCATTATACGTTTCCGGCGATTGTGTCACAGTCAAGATTGAGTCGCTCTTTCCTTTTAGCGCTCTTACAGGAAATATCAAGATCTCAGTGCTGCCAGTTTATGTAACATCTATCAGAGATAAATGACAGATAGACAGACGTTTCTAAGTGTGGCTGAACTTCACATTTGGGAGATGTGTTTACTTACTCTTTTAGGAAAGTAAATCAATATCAAAACAGTGTTCACAGCCTGTTTTTCTTCCTTAATGTGACACATTATTGAGTGAATCATGTGAAGTTATTTCAGAAGCAGAGCAAATAATTATATATATACTGTGTATATATATATATATATATATATATATATACACACACACACACACACACACACACACATATATATATATATATTTTATATTATCCATCAGAAATTGTTTGGATGATAAAAAGTTTTGTTAAAAGTAATGTTGAAAAAGTCAGAAGGGAAAGTTATTTAGAAAATTATTACATTTTGGTGAAAGATTAAAATGTGCACCAATAAATTTAGTCTTGAATTTAAGTGCAGTTTTTTCATGCCATTTTTTGTAGTTCACACATCTCAAAAAACATAAAGAAATATGCATAATATATACAAAAATATAACATAAAATTTAAAAAAATGCAGATTTTATTTTAACAGACAGGAATGAAAAATGCAAGACTGGATTTAAGTGTATCCGTCAGGAATTGTTTGGATGATAAAAAGTTTTTCTATATGAATAATGTTTAAAAAGTCAGAAAGAGAAATTATTTCATAAGTTGAGCAAGTTATTACAAAATATACATATATATTTTTTTTTTTTGATAGTTACCCATTTTAGCCGTTTTTTTCTTGCTTGTTATAAATTATATATATTTAGTGAATATAAAATGTAAAGTTGATTAAAACACGTTTAATTCCCACTTTAAACCACTCTACAGCTGTTATACACAATCAGAATATAAATTGGAAAAATGATCAAAATGGCAGGCGCAGTGAAAGCTCTTTGTGTCTGTATTTGGCCAGTAAAGATCACTCAATCTCCTTCATTCTAACAGCTTTATTTCTCCCGGTAAGCCTGTTGGAGATTCGTGGCCGTTAATTGGCTTTAGTCCAGTAGCTTTTCAGAGACGCATGGATTTAGAGTGGACTTTCAGCTCAAGGACACTCAGACACAGCGGCCGGATTGCATAACACCCAGATGCAGATGACCTTTAATAGAGTACACCTTCCTGGAGAAAGAAAAGGACAGCCTCATCACTGTGCTGTACATGATGTTGAGTTTCATTGACCTGTTTACTTTCTTAATACACGTTCCTGGTCTGAATGATTCATCACTGCGCGTTATTCTAAAAATAGTCTTTGTAATATCAAAATAACTTAGCTGATATGAAACTCCCAATGTCAATTCTAATGTGTAATATTATATACAATACTGTAAAATTGAGTGTAATATTAATAAAAAAATATTTTTCTTTTTTTTTATTAAATCATAAGAAAAACGTATTGTACACATTTTAGTCATATACTAAATATTACTACTAAATTAAATATGACATTATACTAAATATTATATTATTTTATATTTAAAAAAAAATTTAAATAAGAAAATCTTTTAAATTAAATCAACATTATACTAAATATTGTGTTTTTTATCAAATAATTTTTCTTATTATTTTTCATTAAATAATCTCTTCAAAATGAAATCGACATTATGCTAAATATTACATTACATAATATTACACCTTAGAATTGATATGATCAGCCAATTTTATTTTTAGTTTTCATTAAATAGAAAGAAATAAAATATACAAAACAAAAAAAATTACTATACTAAAAAAATTTACATTTTAGTAAATATTACATTATTTTATATAATATTACACATTTGAGTTGATGTGATGGTGATTTTTCATATATATATATATATATATATATATATA